AGGCTTGGAATAGCTGGTACTTCTTCAGCCCAGTAATCAGAAATCTCTGCTGTACTGCACACTAAAGGCAGGGTTATATCCTCCTGCTGAAGGAGTGGGAAAGGCTGTACATCATAAAAATGTAAATTCAGCATCGAATGCATAAGAAAGGGAAAAACAATCTGACAGAACTCACAACAAACATCATTCCAGAGCAGTGCTAATGGCTAGGGCCAAGCACTTACACATCAAGTGATTCACTGAACCTCAGTTTTTCTTCTTCTCATGCAAGCACTGAGACAGAACGCGTGTGATAACCCTCTGTTCTGGCCAAGGGGCCACAGTGGAAAAACAGAGCAGAATTAAAACTCAAACTGCACGGATAAAAGCAATTCTAGCGTGTTCCAGCTTTGGCACCTCCTTGCTACAGCATTACCTCTCGTTTTATTTTTATCACATTACCATCAACACACTTGGTTGGTCATGGCTAGTCAACACTTCCTGTTTTAAGGCCACATTTTTAGTTACTCCCAGTTTGCCAAAACCTTTTCTTTGGAGTACAATTACACATACTGCCCCTCCAGATGATTTTTTTTTTTAGGAAAAACAGAACAAATATGACTCAGTCATTTCTAAGAACGATCACGGGGAACGTATGGTTTAATCACATTCAAAGAATTCTTAAAACAACTTTTAAGAAATTTCTGCAAATTTTAGAAACAGGGACATGAAATTTAGCAAGGAAGGTGTGCTGGTGTCACTACTGGGATTTTTGCTCTTCCTTTGAAAAGATCCACAGATCTTGGCATGTGTTGAGTCTTTTTAAGACTGACCTCGCACACGCTTGCCAGACTTGCTTTCAGTAGCCAAAATTTTCAGCTCTCTCTCCATTGCACAGACATGCAGAGAGGGAGCTGGATGGTGCCCACAGCAGGCAGCTGATTGCCAGGCTACCACACACTGAAACTGAAACAGGGTAGGGTTGTTTCTCCCCTGGTTTCAGGACTCCTGGGATTTTTACTCATTGTCACCGAATAATGTGTTACCTGGCTCAAAGTCAGAGGGAGAGAAGATGGATTCAGGTGAGAAAGGGAAATGTGAATTATCCGAGGGAAAAGAAGACAAGCAAGAGTCTGAGATCAGAAGAAATGAAAAAAAGATGAGGGGTGAATGAGAAACGAGGTTGGGAGAAGACAGCAGGAGGATTCAGCCAGCGTCTTCCCAGCAAAGAGGAACTGCCCAAGGAGGAGCAGCCCTAGCTTGATTTTTCTACCAATTTCTTGAAGGTCAGACAGCTGAGAGGTTAACAGTATTTTCTGGAACAAGAAAAAAAAAAAAAAAAAAAAAAAAAAATCAGCCCCCAGGCTACTGCTTCGTTAAGATCCTCCCAGAAAAATACACAAGGTCCAGCAGCCTGGAGCCCTGAGGGAGTCCACGCTGAGCAACCTGCCTGGAGACAGCGAGAAATGCTCCACATCCCACCACTCGCTCCCCACCGAGGGCTGGCCCGGCAGGACTCAGGGAAAGCAGGGAACAGCAGAGCCGGGTGGGAAGCAGGGCGGGGCTGTGGTGGCTCCCCAGGATGGTGGTCGGGGTGGGAGCAGCCCAGGGCTGTTCCCAGGAGGAACCCTTGGGAGCGCTGCAGCGACACCATCCCAGCACACGCAGCCCTCGGCCCCCGCAGGAAACCCGCCCACGGTTCCCCTCCATCCACCCCAGGAAAGGGTTTGCAGCCCCCACAGCCACACCAGTGGGTGGGTGGGTGGGTGAGTGCAGGCAGAAGGCAGCAGCCCACTGGGGTGCTCCTGTGGGAGAGGAAGGTGCCTGTTTTCCCACAGGAGCGAGTTCCTGCTCCAACAGACATCTCCCCTTCTTTGATTTCCTCCAGGCCAGGGTGGTTTTCAGCCCCTGGGTTGCTCCCCACGACCACGGCTGGTCACTTACTGGAATGATGCACAGGAGCACACTCTTTATAAGAAGTGTGATGAGGTAATGACAAAAACACAGGCAGGAGTTTTCGCTGGTGTTTTTAGGCTGAGCAGCTTATGTCACTTAAGCATTACATAAAGGCAGCGTGAATTAGCCCCCTCCCCCTCACAAAGGTAAGGTTACATAATTTCAAGATACCTTCCCCCCCCCTTTTGCTTTTTCCTAAGGTAAAAAGTAAGTATTCTATAACTTTCTCTCTCAGCTTTTACAAGGGAAAAAAAAAGAAAAAAATCAATTGCTACAGCCAAAACAGGTGACTTCACGTGAGCTGCTTCTCTGCTTGTCCCTAACAAGTAAAAACCACAGATGTTCATTCCTGCAAGGGAATTTCTTGCTCAAAGTTACAATTTCAATATAAAACTGCTCCTCTTTAAAAGAGACCTAGCGTGCACCCCTCATCTCAAGTCACACATACATTAACCAGCTAAGAAAGATAGAAAAGAGCAACGTTTGCAGGAAGTCTGGTATCAAAGAGCCTCTCCCTCACCGAGTCTTTATGCAGGAGTAACTTCCCTTTCAGTCACTTTAACAGAGGACTTGCTCCATAAACAGAGGAGAGTGTTTAAGGTTAATAAATTTGAACTTTATTTACAAAGCAGATGAATTCTAATCTGCAGAGTCCTGGGGCAGTATCGAACTTCTGCAACATCCAGGGAAACTCCACAACACTGACGTCACTTAACATCACACTTGACATCTTATATGTCAAGATACATTAAGATAAGATGTGTAATTCACCAATGGATCAACTCTGGGAAACCAGTAACCTAAATTCTTCCTGAATGTTCTTCTCAAAACCCTGAACATTCTTCTTAAAACCCTAAGGGCGGGGAGGTGGGGGGAGAAATAAATAAATTAAAAAAATGCAATTAGAAGACAACAACAAAGAGTAAAATAAAAAGATTTGTGTAAAGGTATATACTTGAATTTCCATTAGTTAGGTTAGTTTAGTTTGAGAGTAGCTGCATAAGTGCATGTGCTTATGGGAAAAATCAGCCCTGAAATAGCCTTGGAATACTCAAGTGGAAGAATTTAAAAGCATGGGAGTATTACAGGATCACAGACTACTACAAAACACTTCCCTTATTTGTTTTGCTGTTTATCTTATCACCTACTTCAGCTTTAATTCCTTCAAATTCATGATGGATTTGTGTTTGCACAGGTGCTGAAGTTGGAAACCTACTGTAACTACTACTACAGACCTGACAATGTTTGAATACCACTGCTTTAAAGCACGTCACAAAACTGAGGCAACCATTTTACAAACCCAAGGCGTAGTTCTGCTAAAAGCTACTGAAGTAACACGGGCTCTGTTTCTTAATTTCAACCTGTGACTAAATCAAAGCCTTGTAGTCTAAATTTTGGAGAGGAGAAGAAAGAATAAGACCTCTCAAACCCACTAGGGCCAGTTTCTAAGAGACAAATTGCACTTGGAGCAAGCCGGACACCAGAGGCAACAGGAAGGAAAAAAAAACACAAGCAGATTGTGATAAATACAGTCATGCTTTCTCCACAAGTTTGGAATACTTGCAGCAGGAGGAATGCTAAACAAATTAAGACAAAATACATGCCACCTTATTTCTTTAGAGTCCTTCACAGTCTTGTCACTAAGGTTTTAGGCGGGTGCTTAAGATGTTTACAGCTCAGATTTGCTCTTTAAGCCAAGCAACTCGTTTTAAAAGAACTCTGGGCTATCTGTTGTCCACATGGCAAAACTGGGACTTCAGCTGTCAACAGAGTTTGCAAACTGCACAATTCCAAGGGTATCAAATCCAAACATGGATATCTCAGAAGCAGACAAGTAGTGTTCCCATTCTCCTCAGATTTCCCCTGGCATGACAGTTGAGTGCTGGACTCGGCAGTGTTGGGTTTAGCTTGGAAAAGACCTTTAAGATAAGAGTCCAAACATAAATGATTCTACGACGTTATCATTTTGTAGGGCTTTTTTTTCTCCTGGCAGTGCCTTCCCCCTGTCCTTTAAGAGTTGGTTTAGTTGTTTAGATTTTTTTTAAGCAGATCAGATGCACTAAAAAAAACCCAAACAAACAAACAAGAAGAGACTGAAGATTTTAAATTTCGCTTTCAAGATAGTATTTTACAGGACATACAAAAATACTCTAGAAAAACAACTTACAGGGTCATTTACAAAAACACCACATTAGAAAGACATCACAGCAGACAAATAGCACAGTACTTGTTCCATAGGATCAGAGTTTCTCCCCACCCTCACAAATCCCAATGCACTTAACTGGGTAAGGAGTGCTATCAGCTTACAGAACCAGACTTAAGGCTACTCGAGGTTTTCACGTAAGCATTCAGACCAGCTTCCAGGCTTTATCTGAAACCACTTTCTGCATTGCCACTGGCTTTCCACCCTCAGCTGTTGCAGTGTCTCAGTGCATCTCCAGCTCTGTGTTCAGGGTTTGCCTTTACTACCCAGTGACAAAAAAAAAAAAAAAAAAGCCTCTCAAGTCTCATCTCGGAGCAGTCTTAAGGTAAAAAAAAAAAATAATTCATCAGATAACACAGCACAAGACACGCCTATCATCTCCATACCTCGGTGGAATCCTCTGCTGCACTTCCTTCAACACTTGAGTTATTTCTGGGCCTCCATGGGAGGCAGTACCTGTGCAGTGCGTGGCTGTGCCAGACAGGGGAAGGCTGCGAGCCCAGGGAGCTGAGCACCAGCGGGGCAGAGGCGCGGGAGCGCAGGTGCCAAGCGGGAAAGCAATCCCAGATAAGAACAATACACATGCACACGAATGAGGAAAGCACCAAGGGAATACAGGCAGGTTCAGACACACTTGGAAAACAGGACGTGGTTGCAGCAGCTGGTTGACATTCTGAATCGCAGGATGGGTTGGGTTTTGGGGGTCTTTCAAGAGCTGGTGGCAGTTAAAGACTTTTTAAAAGCTAATAAAGGCAACTGTTACAAGCACATGCAAAGAGCAGTTCACAAGGAAACAAGCATCCAACAACAGCATAAAACAAGACCAGGGCTTGAACTGGTCGGTTACAGGAACTTTCCACACTTTGTTAGTAAGTGCAACACACATTCACAGCACGGACCATCGACAAGGAGTCATTCCTCTTCACCTGCAGATGCACCAGTTACCCATTGAGGGTGAGTTTGATGGATCTTTTAATAATACGAATGCTATTTGTTGGAACAGGAGATGAAGAATCTGGTAGTTCTTTACTGGAAAGCCTCTAAAACACACAAAAATATGCCACAGGGGGAAGAAAGAAAAAAAAAAGGGAATTTTAAATTAATCAATAAATTTTAAATTCATTAATTCAGAAGTAGCAGCAGATAAACCCTTTCCTAGCTGAATATAACAGTCTTTATGTACCAAAATAATATGGCCCAAATCCATTTTTTGAGACTTTTTTCTTTCACCACACCACTTAATTACCACCAGATACAGAAGAGCATTTTCCCCCCTGCACAATTCTTTTCTTGTATCAACTGAGACAACCACAATGCTAATGGGGGTTGAAATTAATTGCAAGTTGCTCAACAGCATAATAGAGGAAGCTACCATTTGTCTCAAATCCATGCATCAGGGAAACTCTACTGTCCAGATTACTTCCAGTCTTACAACCCTTCATTTCACAACATTTTACATGACACAGAACAGTTAAAGTCACCTGCAGACGTCAAAGCTTCCAAGTCTCTCACAGAAATACAAGTACTGATAACAGCACAAGAAAAAAACAAAACAAAAAAAACCCAACACAAAAACAAAACAAAACCCCACAAATCAGGACACAAACTGTCAGTGTTTGAGGGCATGGAAACTTGGAAGCTTTGGCTTCCCTTCTGTGAGGAAACCTGGGAGGTCACTGTTCAGATATTTAATTTGCTGGAAGCGCGACCTCACCAACTACTTCAAACCACCAAGTTTACAGGGATTAACGTTCCACAAATCTCTGCACATAAAATGGAAATGCTGGTTCTGCTTTACCTACAAAAGCACAATAAATACCTGTGATCTTGATGTGATCACTGGAATCTGCATGGATTTTCCATCAAGGACTCCCTAAAAAAAAAAAAGCCAGAAGGGATTTGTTAGGCAGTGTTGCCAACTTCACAATGGAGAGGGAGCAAGTTCTGGCAGCTGGGATACTTTAAATCATTCATGCACTGACAACCTCCACCTCCTGGGGTGGGTTTAGGCATTGTGAGGCCCTAAAAGCACATAAACGGTGCTTCAGGTATTTCAACCTTTACCAACAAGATCTCATCTTGATTTGAGGGTGTGCCCTCAAGAGTTTGGGCTCCAGCAGCAAGTTACACAAATAGCAGAGCTCTTTATCTTCCCTCGGAGAGGCCAAAATGCTTTAGTCTTTACAGCAGTTTTGCATCAGGGAATCAAGTGGTTTCAAAAAGAAAATAGAATATTATTTCAAGCATGGCAAGAAGCTAGATCCTCCCACATCACCTTTAAAAGACAGGGCATCCAGGTGCAACATTTGGGAAATGAAGACTTAAATAAACTAAACCAAAAAGCCTATTTTTGTTTCCATCAGTAGATGTGCCGAGTATTTACATGAGGTACTCCAGGCACTGAGACTACTCAGCTTTGCAGTTAGTCCAGTGAGTGAAATCAGTTTAAACTTACATTTCTTGCAGCTCTCCTCCTCCCATCTTGAGGATATCCGCTTTCTGTGAAATCTGAATCCCAGGTGTTCAGCTGCAAGAACAAAACACACACGCTCAAAATAATTGCTGTGCTAAAATCACCTTCGTATCTGAGAACTGCTTCTAGTCAACTAAATGTCACAGTAGCCTTTCTTAAAAGAACATTTATACAAGTCCACCATTACCCCTCTGGAATCTCAAGCCTCTCAAAAAGTGTTAACTATCCAAACCTTGAGATCTGCACTCGCAATGTTCAATATCAGACAACAGTTCTGCCAGTCGATTCTTTACAAGTGTCAAAACTGAGGTTTTGTTTTTTTCCCCTACTTATTCTTTGCCCGTGCCTCAAATCAGAGGTCAAGACACAAGAACAGCTATTTAAGGAGATTTATATACAGCAGTAAACCAAATCAAGCGTTAATCTAAAGGTGCCACAAAACCAAGATTTAACAAGCAACTCCACACTCATTTCAGCAGCAGAATGACCTACTGAGTTGGCTGCTGATTTCTAAAGCAGCAAAACTATCAATAGGCATTCAAAAACCATCTGCCAGAACCAGACTAGCTCATACTTTTACAGTTATAAGGTTCTTAACTTCGTTTCGAGATAAACTTTTCCTGTACCAAGAACTGCTTCCAGATGAGACAGTTCATTCAGCAATTGGTCACTGCAGGGATGGATAAGCACAGCAGCATTTAGAGACCTTGGCACCAGATGAGAAACAGTCATTAAGTGCCAGATGCTGAAAAAAATGTTAGTTAATAGCTACACATTATATTCAAGACTATTTCTCACATGTACATCCTGGTAAAACTATAATTACTCTTAAAGTAGGATTCCCAAATCCACCGGGGACGTATAAACGCATTTCTTTTCAGTTAATTTATTCTCCATCAGTAATTAATGCTACTTCAAACCCTTGGCCTAGCCCCCCCCCCTTCCTTGCCTTTTCTCCATCTATGGCTTTTTGGGGGCATTCTCCCGGTGTAGGTAGACGAGATACTTTAGAGGTTGGTGAATAATGTTGTTTGGGTGCAGCACTCTTAGGATCCGTGATTAGAGTCCCACTTAATTTATGGTGTCCTTGGACAAAACACGTCCTGAGCTGAGAAACTGGGTTATATCCCGGAATGGTGCAACCAATTGGAGGTCCCGATGTTCTTAGTGCAACTGAAGCCTCCATTTCTGCAGGAGACACCTGGCTTTTAGAGTTTGGCCACGAAATGAGAGACTGCATTCCACATACCACGGCAAATACATACTTGGGTCAGCCACGGGAATGCAGAGTCCCTTAGACGTTGATGGCTCAGCTACACTGTTGGCACCACTACAACTCTGACATGCAACATTTCTACAAAAGTCAAACACCGGAGTTACAAAGTGCTAACTTTGTGAAATCTCATTTCCAGAACGTTCATGTTTGCACAGACCTTCTTAGCTTGTTAGCACAGCTCTATTAAACAGCACAAACTCATAGGCCATGCAGGACAAGATCATCATTCAGCTCGAACTTCAGGCCACAAATTTAAACTGAAACATTTTGCTTCAGTGTTCTCCCAGGTTAGTTTATCCAGCACACTGTGCTGCTTCTAACTAAGCCCTGTACCTGCTCTACCCAGAAGTGCACACAAGTTTTTTGCTTATTTTTCTTTTTTTTTTTTTGTGTGTGTGACTCCTACAGAACCAAAGTGCCTGAACACAGCAGGCATCACACATTTGGTAGGACTGGGCAATTACTCTCAACATCACATATTCCTCCCGTGCTGAAGCAGTTTATGGATAAACAGACTTCCCAGGAAGTCTCCCCAGACACTTTTACTGCCCAAGTTCTCATACCACTCCGCTAAGTCAGCAGCAGCTCTAGTGTTTCTGTGACCAAGATCAGCTCTTCCTTAATCCACTTGGCACTAACTACTTTTTGGCAGAAAGAACAGTTACTTGCACATAAAATACTCCAGCTTCAAGTTACACACTAACCCATGAAGATTTATATTTAAGACTAAACCATTACCCTGGTGTCAAGTCCTTCTTCATTCCTATGTGTTCATGTGCATTAAAATTAATTTTTTCCCAGGATTTCTTTAACCTGTCTCCAACCACGTGCCCAAAGGAGATTCCAAGCTTTGTTCCTCAGAGCCCTCCACATGTTTAGAATCCCACACAGATTCAAACAAGAAACCCTAGGCTTCATTTACATTGTGAGTCAGTTAAAAGCAGCCTCTCCACAGTTCTAAGGTGATGGCACTAACCTGTCTGCCTCTGCTGTAGAGGTGTCCAGTTTGGATATCTTATTTAACAAAGAGGAATTAGATGGTGCTCTGGAGTCTCTGTCTTTGGAAGTGTCAGAACAGCTTTCCCCTAAAGAAGACCTTTTGCACTGAAGTCCACTATTGCCTTGACTAATCTCTGACACTCTTTGCTGAAATGACAGGTAAAAAAACGAATCAAGTCCTCAAGGAATTATCAAAAAAAAAAAAAAAAAGAAAAATTACCAGAAGACCCAAGCTTTTATTGTACCTTCTTTCTTTTCTGTAAGGTTTCTGCTGGCAAAAAATAATGCAGTTGCTTTCTCTTCACATAAGTTGCCTCAATCTTCATCCCTTCCTTCAGGATGTTGAGGGCACTGGCCTGCCTGTAAACTGACAAACACAGAATTGTAGCTTAGACTAATTTTTGATTTGGCATTTACAGTGGTGATTGTGTTTGTGTTTTTTTTCATTTTCCATAACAGTTCTGTAGCATCATCCAACTTCTCAGCAGTTCAGAGGTTAAAATTCTGTGCAAATAAGCAAGACTGGGTTTTAGGGACATCTGATTTAGCAGACTCACTACCATTTAAACAGGTTTTTCTTAACAGCCTTTTATGAACTGGAAAATGCTGTAGTAGCACAACAGTTATTACAGAATTAAGTCACATTTAGATAAAGCTTATCTAACTGGACTATCATGAGTGTAACTGGAAAGTCAGCTTACTAACAAAGAGTGGGAATCAAAGTCAGGACATGCAACAAAAAGGCTTAAAAGTCTTTCTAGAAGAGCTCTAAAATAAACCAAAAGCACAAACATGGACATACACACCAATGTGGACAGTTCCATCAAAATAAATTCTGTTCCCTTCAGGAAATGCAGTTCCTTTGGGAGTGTTTACACCATAATCTGCAGAACTGTTATTTCACATGTGGTACATGGTGTATGACTAACACACACTTCTGTTTCAAAATGGACTTTGACAAAGTGTCAACACATTGTGTTTTAAATCTAATCTATATGTTTCTCTCTCTAGGAATATTTAATGCCAGGAGGAGGCACAATTCACTTTGTGAAGCAATTTCCACTAGAAAAAAAAATAAAAAATAAATAAAGCCAAGTCAGGAGCAAAACAGAGGCTTACCTGTGTCTGTGAACGACTGTATCCCATGTGTTAAATCAACATTAGTCTTTTCTGCACTTTCCACTTTCTTAAACACAAGTCCAAGAAACCACATTGACACATATCCGCTCCTGAAAAGAGAGATTCACAAGCCTGATGTAGGCACAGGTGTCAGCTGTTTGGATTCCAGCACACTCTAGATGCATGTAGCAGCTAAAGATTAGAGCCAGACCACAGTGAAGTTCTCAGAGTTCGTTCTCCCTTCTTTAAAAAGATCTTTAAAAAGTGCTCAGGACCCTGTTAGTGAACAAACCTACAGAACACGCTGAACACCTCTCACCCACGAGCTGAGGTGAATGAATGTAAATAAATAAGTTACAATACACCGGCCAAACTGTACTTCAGAAGAGTAACGTAACAAAACTCACTGTTTATAGAGATTTTCACTGCCAGGGAAGGACTGTGGCTGTACATGTGCAATAGTTATAAATTCATTCCTTTCCAAGTTTCCAACCAGCACACGAATTTTCGACTCAACAAGGCCAATCCTGATAAGAACAAGAGATATTTATTCATTTAACTGTGTCCAGCACACCACTCAGATGCCTTTTTGTAATACAATGGTAACCTATCAATAAGTTGAGCAGATACTAGATCTTTATGAGGCATTTCCAGTGACACTCAAGCTTTTATTTCTAAAGACAATGATAAGGGAATTTAACACGTGCTCTTAACAGTTCCAATACAACACTTTCATCTATAATCTATGGTGAAAATACCAAGGAGCAGATCCCAGCACCTCTGGCTGCATTTACAAGTGTAGCAAAGCCCCTTTTTACCCTCCAGGATCACGGAGAACAGTGGCTGTGAACAACTGTGACTGATACCAAGGTGTAGTTGACAGGATTTTTTAATTGATTTTGTTATTACAATTAACAAAAATAAAGTGCAATACCGAATTGAGTTTTACCTTTGAATTGGACCCAAACCTAGAACAGACTTACCAATTTAGGTGATGGTCCTCTGTAAAGGCACTAGCAGTGAGCACAATATAGTGTCTAGAAGAAAAGGAAAATGAACACACTAGCTCAGGGCTTTATTCTGCATTCTAAATATGAGGTGAGTTTCTTTGTAGTAAAAACAGTGTCAGTGGCATGAGACAGTTTTTCCCATCTTTCCTATGCTCATCTTTACCAAAATTTATATGAATACCTCCAGTTTCTTTAAAAGAAAACCAAAACCAACCAAAAAAAAAAAAATATCAAACCCCAAACTGAAACACATCAATACAATCTTCTCTTTAGACCCCAAGTTAAAACTCACTATGCTGACCAGTCAGTAAGTTACTTCAGGTTCAGACAACAGATTTCATACATACTTGTACTTCTGAAAGAAGTTCAGTGGTTCAAAGAGCTTTGACCAGTCCGATTTTCCTTTAAGAATCTCATCTGTGACTTCAAGACCTACAATTAAGGTTGAAAACCTCATTACCTTTTTGTTTTTAATATTACTACTCCATAAAACGTCCCAAGATTGGCATTAATTGAGAGACCAAAAAGCAGGAATGCCTTTGACACACTGCAGATCCACTACAACAGTTCATCATCAAACTGGTCTCACTGCCTGCAACAGGTGTCCTTCCCAGAGACCTTATCCTACCTAAAACACCTCCCTGAGCAAAACCAGCTCAGATAACGTGGTTTCAAATAGCAGGAATTATACTGCTTAGCCAGATAATAAGCATGGAAAGCACTTTACCACGTTGGAACTCCTCTACCATCACCGCTCGTGTTGACGTGGAGACATTGTACGTAGAGTTCTGCTGCGGATAGGCTGGTGTGATGATGGGCATCACATGGTACCGGTCTGATGGGTTCACCTGGGATGTTACAACTTTGTTTAGCATCAGTTTAGGCCAGGGGAAGTTTAAAGGCTTCTGAATTCAGTGTTTACATACCCTAGGGTCCCACACTGGTAAATTAAGGAAGCTCTCTTCAAGTCGCTTCAGCAATACCGGCTTCGGCCAATCCCTGTGTAAGAAAAGCCAGTGTTAAACTGTCCATTCCAAACTCTTCCAGTGGATGCTGTCAGCGGAAATCTTTACTACAGAACTACATCTAGATGTGTTCCTTCTTTATGCAAATTAAAATAAAGAACAGCTCTTACCACTTTGAAAAAATCAAGAAGAACTTGTTAACGAGAGTGGAGGCCAAAGCATTGGGGTAGAGCTGACATATCCTCGCTACCAGCATTGCCCAGGAAACTCCACCAAGGAACCCCATTATGTTGGAGTAAACACCACGTCCTAGAAGGGATACCACAGTTAGTCTGTACTCTTACAGTAGCAGCTTCACAATCTACAGAATGCCTAGTACACTTTAGCCCCAAAGTCATTTATTTTTGCAGTGCAGTGAGGCCAAAGCTGCTGGTCCTTACAGTGATGAGAAAAATAATCATTACCACACTGCTTCCCAAAATACTGCTACTCTAAGGTTTGCTTATGCTGCTACAGCTACTGCTTCGCTCCAACCTCCCTTTAAGAGACGAAGTTCTGCTATTCTTCCAGTACCTGCCCTAGCCACATGCACATAACGGTATTTTCTTAACCCTTTTGTACTCAATTTGGGATTTTTATCATTTGTAATCAGGTTCCTGGTAAGCAAAGCAATGCAGCACCCTGTCTTGTAAGCATTAAAAAGCACATGGAATCTCCCACGTTGACGGACCCTGAATCTAAACTAAGTTTCAATTTAACAGCTGTCACTTAAACAGCAACCCAAAGCTGAGGCACATCCCACAGCAAGCACGAGATGCCTCTGAGGAGTTTAAAGACCACAACCAGTCCCGTTACGCACGTTTTGCCCACAGTTTAATGGCACGGAGTGTGAGGCGGAAGTTCTCCAGGTGTGGCACCAAACGCAGTATTTCATCGGTAACCCTGCTGCCTGCAAGACACAAGTTGAAGTACTCCAGTTCCCAGTGACAGGTACAAGCCAGTTCTATGCTGATCAATAGTTTGTTCAAGTCTACGAACACAAGTTTGGATTGGTTCTTTTGTATTTCCTTGAAAAGTTAGAGATTACACACAGCATTCTGTATCACTTCAGGTAACTGGTGCCCTCAACAACTTTTTTCATAGTCTAAACTGTTTAAACCAACAAACAATTTTTAATACAGCCTTTGTACAGGAGGGTTTGGCCATAAACTAAAAGACAAGAAGTTCTACCTCACCCTTTCCTTGGAGGGTGGCAGAGCACTGGAACAGCTGCCCAGGGTGGTCATGGAGTCTCCCTCTCTGGAGACATTCCAAACCCACCTGTGTCACCTGCTCCAGGTGACCCTGCCTTGGCAGGGAGGTTGGACAAGATCTCCAGAGGTCCCTTCCAACCATAACTATGTGGGTTGCATAATGTGCATTCTATCCCGATTCTAGGCCAATTTCAGCAACACTTTCTTTTTCAAAGGTGTTTAAAACACACTCACCATTTAAGCTCCTTATGCATCTTATATCCAGGCTCCTCAGGCACGAGTCGTCTCTGAGATCGAGATCATCAGACACGGTTGGCATGGACAGTTTTGCAAACACAAGATCAATCTTGAAGAGAGAAAGGTTCCAACCATGAGTTTACAGCGCAGCACCACTGTTTGCAAACAGCACACTAGCGAGGGACATTTCTGACACCCAGTCAACTCTAAAAAGAGTGGTTAACATTGTATTTAGAATTATGTGACCACAGATAAATCTGCCAAAAGATCTGTTTGCCAGAAAACAACAAAACTGCTCAGAGTCCATATTTATTTACAAAACTTTTTTTTTCCAAAGTTGGAAAGATTACTCTAGACTTGGAATTCCTGTTAAGAGGAAATTTAAAATTAAACACAGAACTAGGACCCAAGTTCAAACCACATTAACTATCTTCAGCAAATGAGAGAGCATCGTCTTTATGCTGTAAGCCCTTAAGTATCTGGTTTTTATACAGCCTAAGGCAAGAAAATTATTCTGGGAAGGTCTGTACCAGATAAAGGCCACAAAAAGGTCATTGAATAAGGGTCTTCATGATGGCTTCAGAGGGACTTATTTTCCTGTAAGATCCCATTTTCCTCAGGGTCTCCTCCTGGGATAGGCTGTGGTCAGGCTCTTTGACTACAGTTTCCTAAATACACTGTAAGGCACCACTAGCCTTGTAAAATGGCACAATCACAGGTCCCTGGAAAAGTTATCCCATTCCAAAGCATGAAAAAAAAACCCCAAACCTAACAGTTAAAATTCTTACCTCAATGCCATCAAAGTCAAATTTGATAACTGGTACATAGGCATCCTCAATGGCCTGTGAAGGAGAGGATTTGTGTAGTGAAACATTGTTCTGCTGCTTTAATGTTTTTCCTGTGCTATGATAAAGAATAGAACTGAAACTGTTCAACTCCTCAGTACAGAGCTGCTTCCAAATACAAGGAAAATTGCTAATAACCCTCCAGCAGTGTAGCACTATTGTGGTACTTACACCAGATTTTATTAAAAAGTTACTTGGGCAAGAGATTCAGGAACTGGTCATGTGTTGTAACAAACTGTCAGTGCACAACAAACCATCAGGATGAGTGGTTGTAAGCCTCTTCCCAAGATGGAAGCATATCTTCCAGGTACAACCTTGCTTTCTGATACAAGTGACTCATTCCCAAACAAAGGGAGGGGAAAGAAAAACCAAAATAGCTCTTATGGGATGTACAGTCCTTGGGGGAAGAAACCAAAAGCTGGACATAAAGATTTTCATGCTTTACAAACCAGAATTGTAGAAGGTGCTCAGAAACACTTTCTATTTTAACTTGGGCTTGTAACACAAGCTCACTTTGCTAATACAAACTTAACATGAATATTCTTACAGTAGAAGTTGCACACTCCACCAAAGCAGGGTTTACTCACTCTCAGATTTTTTACTTCCTCTCGATTTTTCAGTTTCTCAAAGAACGACTGAAAAAAATCCGACCTCTCCACATGGCTGGGAGCAACACAAAGGGCGTCTATGTCAGAACCTGCCAAGAGATTCCATTTGTTCTGTTATTGCTGGAAGCCACTTCCCAACAATCAGAACTACGACCAGACACTGAAAGTACTACCTTTAGTGTGCACTCCGAGCCTGTAGGAACCAAATGTAAATATCTTGCCACCAAGATGTTCTATTATTGAAGGGGGAAGATTCTGTGGGTAGAAGAGATAGAGTTTAAGATGCACCTTGTCTTACGTGCAAGTTTAACTAGTTACTTAGGAAAACTACAACAGGCTCCACAAATGCATCTTTTCACTCCCAGACTGGGTTTTTAGTTTAATAGAGTGGTTTTCTGAAGTGAGTTGAGTTTCCACCTAATAATAATAATAAAAAAATTGAGTAATGTAGCAGTACTCTTTATTAATTTATACAAATTAAGACCTATTATTAGCCTTCCCTGCAGCAGAGGCACATAAATTAACACAATCTAGGAGCCATTCAAAAGGCACATCTAGGGTAATAATTTCAAAGGAGTTTGACTGCTGTAGGCTGTTTGGGGCAAGATTAGTGCCAATTTACCACCTCTCTCACCCACAAGGTGTTGTTTCAGCTTTGTTAACAAGTCAACCAATTGAGCCAATTCACAAAATTTATTCAGTGCCCCAACGACTTTGAAATCTTGATCTTGCAGTACCTCTTATACCTTATTTCTGTGGCAGTGACCACAGCTCTGCTGGATACTTTAGAGTTGAACTTTAGCACACATTTCAGTAGTGTGGCCTTTAAAAATCAATCAAAAGGCTTCAGCTGTTTGGATAAAAACATAAAAAAACTCCTTACCTTGCTCTCGGCAAGTTCTGAAATCCATTCTCTGACCAAGTTATTCAGTTTACCGAGGACAGTTGTCCTGTTAAAAAAAAACCCCTCACATTAAGTTTGATTAAAAACAAAACAAAACAAACCCAAGAGGTTAACAAATTTTACAGTCTTGTTATACCTGTGGTACAGTTCTTCCTTATCTTCAAACACCCCAAATGGCTTCATGGCTTCAATCAGCTTCTGAGTGTGAGTGTGGTCTACGTCATTAGGAAGAGCCAAGCTAATTGGAGAGGTAAGTCCATAGTGCCCTTGAGGCTGGTTCTGCTGCCTGGAAGTGCTGTGAGAAAATAAAGGACTATATAAAAAAAAAAAAATAACCCTTATTGGAAAACACCCTTCAACTTACAGGTTTCCATATCCCACTTTTGCTCTTTTACCCAGCATTACCATAAATGAGGGGGAAAAAAAAGCCCATGATTTTTAGATAATTTGAGCTAATTTAGAAGACACAACTACTTTAAAAAAACCCCAAACCAAACAAATATTTGTGGAGGTAAGAAATTATCTGAGTATGACATGGCACACAGGAGAGTTTTTAGGCACATTTCAGTTTCATATCCATTCTAATTTAAGGATATTCCCAACAGCTTCCTGCTAACATTAAACAAGACAATTTAACTTCTTTTAAGTGTATTTGTGGTGTTTTGACTGATTCTGGAAGGGCACTATAGTTGATTGTAGAGGCACATAATGAAGGGGTCTGTTTAACACAGTTGATGCAGTAAATTCAGTGTGTTATTATATAAAACCCTTGCTTTAGAAAGGGGGAAACGGAGGAAAAGCACCTTATTTTGCATTATTAGTTGAAACTGGGACAGAGAAAGGAATAGGACAGGAGGGAAGAAAGGTGCTGACTTCATCAAAGGTCTATACAGAAACAGTAGCAAAAGGGAAAAACACTAAAAAGTCTGCACAGCTCATCATACTCGTCAGAGTTCATACCCAGACCCTAAGCACAAAGGGATTAATGTGTCATTATTCAAACTGCATAATTTTCACCTTCACATTCAGACAACTTGAAGGAATTACTGGGTGTTCAAGAGATGTTTGTTACTATTTAAGATACCCAACCCCTTTTGGCTGGAACAGGATTAGGAAGTGCTCAAAGGACAGCTTCCCTACTTGATTCAAAAAAAAAGACAGCTTCTTACATAGTTCCTTATTTCTAATTGGAGAGAAAATATTTTCCTCTCTCAAAGTGTGTTTATCAAACTTCACACATCGCTTTTAGTCACCCGGTGGGTTTTTTCCCCCCTTCCTCTTTACAAGTCCGTTTTCCAAGCTTTGTTCTATGTGTTTTCCAAGAAGCTGAGGGCGAGTATTAGGACTGTAGTCCTACCAGCTAGTCTCCCAAGTCAGAACATCTGTTTATTTACAAGGGTAACCAGGGCTTGACCTAATCAAATAGACACAGACTTCCACTCCATAAATAAAAATATTTATAATACAAATTTTCCTTCTTATGACATCATTTTCATATGACAAATATAGGAGGAAAGCCTGTGTTTAATTCCTGTGCATTACAACTGAATTAAGACACCTGCAGCAGCAACTGCTTTCACGTTTTATGCACTTTTTTTTTTGCATCATAAGACTTTTACCTCACAAAGTTTGCACAGAACAAGAATGGGATTTAGACTACACCAGCATTTAAGACCTTTTCAAGGTACAAAAAGGCACCATCTGCCTCTCATTGCTCCATTCTTCCTACAGGCAATGTAATTAGAAAGTGACATAAAGTGACATAATTGATACATAAAGTATCAATTATATTGATAATTCTATCTATCTATTATTAACTAGATATTCTTCATATCAAGTTTTGCTAGTCAATAGTAGATATTCTTCATTCCCTTGCACAAGCACTGAAAGTTTGACCTCACAACTCAAAACCTGAGGAAAAACAGCACTCGGAAATTTTAATTGAGTGGCTTCTGCCAACAGAATTTGTTGCTCTTTTGGAATTAAAAATAAATAAAATCCTACTTCGACATCTTCAGCTGTGCCAGACTTCTAGGGAGATGTAATTAAGTAATCTTATAGATATTAGCAAACACAGTACACTACCCATTCACCCTCCTGTTTAAACGGGAATCCTATGGCAATTTAACATTTTTCCCAATATCCTGGGCGACACAGCGAACACCCCCAACACGCGTCTGTTCCGAGACATCCCGCTTTTACACAGAAATCCAAACTTGAACGGATTTATTCCAGGTTTCGCCCCTCATTCGCAGCTTCGCGAGGCAGCGAGGGCGCCTCTCCCACACGCTCCCGGAGCCGGCGGGCGATTCGCACCACGCGGGCGACGGCGCTGCCTCCCAGCCACCAGCGCCAGGGAGCAACAGCTGGAAACTAGCTCCCCAGGCACCAAAACAAGACAGTGGGAAAACAGGAGAAAGGAAAGAACGAGGAAAAAAAGACCCCCACCACCTGGGACTTTCGGCGAAGGGAGCCCAGCTGCACCCTTCGCCGCTGCCGCACCAGCTCATGCCGCGCCGAGCCCGCAGGCAGCGGCCGGAGGGGCCAAATCTCCCCGTGCCCGAGGCCCGGGCAGGGTCTCTCCCCCGCGGGGCTCCGCGGGACGCGCGGCCCCACAGCGAGGCGCAGCCCCGTTACCGCCGTTCCTCGCCCGCCATCGCCGTTGCCCGGCGACGGCGCTGCCGCCACATGCCGTGAGCGCCGGGGCGAAGGCAGCCCCGCCGCCCGCCGCGCTCCACCATTTATTTCAACCGCAATTCCTCCCTCGACAGGAGGGAGGTTTCCTTCCCCCCCAGCCCGAGACCCCGCCGGGGGTCGGTGCGGCGGGACCCGCTCCCGGCGCTGTTCCCCCCACCCTCAGGGAAGGGCGGGGCGGGAAGGCGCGGCCGCCTCACCCGCGCGTCTCCCTCATGGCGCGCGCGCGCACAGCCCGCACCGCCGCCGCCGGCGCTTCCCGCCCTTCTACTCCGCCACCTTCCCGGCGGCCCCCGCGCGCCCGGCCGGCCGGCCGGCGCCCCCTGGCGGCGGCAGCGGGGAGCGTCCCCTCCCGTCTCCTCATGTCTCCCTGTGTCCCCTTCGCCGCGTGTCTCAGGCACAGCGAGCGCTTAGCAGGGAGGACAGTCCTTCCCTGTGGGGGATATATCCTTCCCCGGCCAGGATATTCCTTCCCCTGTGGCTCTGACACACCCCCTTGAGGCTGGGCGGGTCCCCGCCCCCGTGCCTCCCTCAGGCAGCCGGGGGATGTTGCCCCTCCTGGCAAACCCTTCCAGTGAAAAGGTGTAGGAGAAGAAATCAAAAGAGGAATCGCCGGTGTATTAGTTTGTTCTCACTAAGCACGTGGTGAATAGTAAGCTCGGTGTCCCCTGGCTTCAGCTAGTATGGAGAGGATGTAACACACATTGCTGATGACAGCAATTGAGTACTCACCATAACTTAATTGCCATACATAATTCTCATTGGGTCATGGAATAGGAAGGGACCTTAAAGATCGTCCAGTTCCAACTCCCTGCCGTGGGCAGGGACACCTTCCACTATCCCAGGTTGCTCCAAGCCCCGTCCCCGTCCAACCTCTCCTTGGACACTTCGAGGGATGGGGCAGCCACAGCTTCTCTGCACAACTCGTGCAAGGGTCTCACCACCCTCACAGGGAAGAATTTCTTCCTAATATCCAGTCTAAACCTACTCTCTTTCAATTTGAATCCGGTCCCTGTTGTTCTACCGTTACGTGCTCTAATAATTAAACTTACCCCATCTTTCCCCTAAGTTCCCTTCAGGTACTGGAAGGCCACAATTATTATAATAATTTTGGGCCAGCATAGTCTGTTACAAGCTGAATATTAAACCAACCAAACTACCCTGTGAGATCATGAGATATAGATGACAATTCCCCACTTGCATTTGAGCCTGCAAAAAAGTTAAAAATCAAAAGCCTAGTGCTCCTGCAAAATTGAATAAACCTTTGGAAAAAAGGTTTGCTTCCCCGCTGCCCTGATGTCTGGCCATTTCACAGCCTTTCTCTGAGATTAGCACATGATTTCTGTACTTTTCTGGGTTGTCTGTAGCACCTTTGCTGAGGTAAAATACATATTATCTTGCAGGACACTTACAAGAAACACAAACTCCACCTTTGCCCTGAAGTTTTAACAAATTAACAAAACATGTACTTTTAGCCTTACCTACTAGGCTAAATATAACTTCATGCTATGGAGAGTTAAAAATTATTTCAGCTATTGAATATTTGCATGGCAGTACTTGTGCTAATATTTCAAAGTCTTTGATCTGACTGATGCTTCTGCAAGGAGTTGCATTGGTAAGGATAAAAAACCAAAACAAAACAAATAAGCAAACTTATTGACAGTTTTTGTTAAACCATTAATCATGTCCTTTTTATTCCTAGAAGTTTATCAGGGTTTTCTTTAACACCTTGTTGTCCTCACAACACTACTGTGATCCTACTGTCAGGAAAATTGTTGTGTACTGCTTCCTCTTCTTTTCTCCCAGGTTCATCCCATCTATTTTGTGTAAGGAAAACACCTGACTTTATTTTTCCCGAGTTTCTGTGGCCAATTATCCGAGTTTATTTATTTTTTTTTTAATCTGTTTCAGCTGCATGCTTTAGTACCTCAATGGAGCTGCATTTGCCCACAGGTGCGACGGGAGATTTTTAATGGGAAGGTGATACTTTTATTTAAATCACCTGCAACAGTTAGGAAAAAAATTAACGGCTCGTCAAGCACAGAACTTTTTCTTCAGGTGCAATTCTGATTTTAAATAGAAGTGAAGAGTAATCAAGCTTAACTGGATTGCTTCAGCTGTAAACTGTTAAAGAGAAAAGGCAGGGGGTGCCTGGGAAACCGAAGGTATTAAGGATGGCTGCAGTGAGATGGTCGGGTCGTGAGCTTTTTCAGTGGCTAGAGCTAGGATCCACAAATAATTTGCTTTTTCTGGAAAAGAATCAGTCGTGAGGAGGTATGAGAACAAAAATTAAATAGAGTTTTTGTTTTCCTCGAGTTTGAGTTCTGGTTTCCAGCGTTATCTGAGGTGACTGATTGGGTTGGCTTTTCGGTGAGTAGTTTTTTTTTTTCCCCACAGAAAATAAGAGTCTTCTGTTATTTACCACTCATTTATTCTAATATTAGTTACTATTAGTTACGTATTTTCAACGTGTAACTGCTGTATTCTGACTGTGTAACTTTTACAGTTTTATGTGTGGCAGTGACTAAGTAATGTTATGTTTCAGACTGCATAGAATTTGGGGACAGTTTGTTTGGAAATAGTGCTTTTCTCTATTGGGCATGTTATATTAACTTTAAAATATTTGTGTGTAGTGCCTGGGTTATAGAAATGCCTGAAAACTAATTAAATATTGTAGTTGGGGTTCCTCTTTGGTGAGGGTCTGTGTTACCCCGATAGCATAGCCCCAGTGAGGTGGGATGGATGTTTAGGTTTGGTTGGTTTGGTTTTTTAAAATGCTGATTATGTCCTGAAGGAGTAAATATGTTCTGTAGTATAAACGAGGTAATATCTGAGTACTTTCAGTCTGTTAGAGAGTATTACTAATTTTATGGAGATGTGCTTTATCCATATAAATACACAGGCTTTGCATTCTCCCACGTTACAGTCTGTACATATTATTTTAATCTTATCTGTGAGGTTAATGATGGTGTGATGTGTTGGTGCAGGGGAGAAGCAGAACCACAAATGCAGTTGTGGCAGCGCAGTCCTGTGTGATGTGTGTTGAGCTTGTGCTCAGGCACACCTGTAAGTGCATAGATGAATGTTAATTAATTCCTATTGAGTAATTCACTTGTCTATATTAGAGAGGTTTTTTGGAGGTTTTCTTATGGGGATGAACATAACTATTGGCTTTGTAGGACCAGCTCTTCTCCATCGACAGATGCACGTTAATTTTACCACAGTCAAAAATTTTCAGAGTGCCTGTGTCACTTGGCTTGTTCAGTTTAGAGAAGAAGAGGCTGAAGGGAGGAAAAGCTGTGCTATTTTAATAGTTTTCTTCATTTCATAGTGTTTTTGCAGATAAATTGTATGTTGTAATCCATAAAAAAAATTTGTCCGGAGATAGTTTATACTGTTTTATTTGGAAAAGTTCTTCACAATTGTTATCCCGTTTAAATGTTTTAACATTTAATGATTAAATGATAACACTTTAATGATTAAAGTAGAGGGGAAATTTAAAACAGGTGTTTGAAAGCAGCTTTGGAGGAATTTGAGGCATGTGCCTGAAAAGTTATGTACCAGCTATTGGAACTGAACCTTTCTGCTTCAATAGAACAAACCTGACTTGAGAGGTGTGATATAAAAATATTATCCACATCACAGAAACTTATCAGAAAAACAGTTTATTCCAGCTTTGTGTTTATGCAGAGGATCTTATCTATGTAATGTACTATATTTCACTGGAGAGACTTTTGCCAGCAATAATTCGTATATATGCATTTAGGCTCTGAATATCAACTAAGGATATGAAATTCAATTCTGGAAAGCATCATTTTGTAATAAACGTTCTCAAGACTCACTAATCTATCACGTTGTGTGGAAGATCTACGTTGAGAGATAACACTGAACAGTAGAAGGTGGGGTTACTGAAGGTGGATTTCAGATGGGTGGATTTAAACAACTAGTTTGTTGTGGGTTTGGTTTTCTCTATATTTTTGAATTTCATCAATGTGCTGAAGGGCTGCGGTTCTATAGATATTGTTAACCTTACAAGCTGCTGATAAATGTAAATGCATAAAGCATTCATGATTTTAAGCCAGGGTGAAAACCAAGCTTTTTGCTTGGAGGGCATCCCTTTGGGACTGTGCTGTTACACTGAGGCACCTTTTCCTAGGCTGGCTTGCTCCTGAGGGCCATTAGCTCCTCATACGGCCTCACCTGCAGGCACTTGGTAGGATTTCAACTTGCCACTCGATGGTGAGCCAGCAAAACAACACCTCTGCTTTGCTTTACCGGGGGAGTCTTGAACAGAAACATGAAATAAGTCGCAGCTCTTCAACTGTCCAGCAATGAAAGGCTCTCCAGGGACTCGCCCAGGCTTGTAGGGCAGGTGCAGTGGCACCGGGAGATGGACGGTCACTCCCTCCTTTCCCGTCAGTTGAAGCCAAGATTAATGATGGTGTTCCCAGCTCCTGGAACAGGTTAGTTAATGGGAACTAACTGTGAGCTCGCTGAAGCAGCACTAATCTCACTGAAGTGTCTGCCTTTGATCCGCTCATTCTCTCTCAGCAAGAGAGAAATAGCCACGGGACAGGAGTGCTTAGTTTACAATCATGTTAATTTTGCTTTAGGTTTGTCTTTAGCTGCTGGAGATTAATGAGTCAAAATGGTGTTTAAATTCACAACCCGTTCTCTTCTAATCACTTGGCGCTGTTATTTCTGGTTGTGTTCTACTTTTGATTACCTAAGCTGGGTCATGCAGAGGACTCTGCTGTTCTGCCATCTGAGGGTGGGTACAGCCATAACTGTCTTGGAAACAGTGAGACAGCAGAGG